AGTCTCACAACTGTGTCGCTAAAGTCTGCCTGCAAAAGGTCTGGGTCTTCTGCACTGCAGTTCAATGCACTTATCTGAGATAAAATCTGAGTGACTATTTTTTCCAAATGTGTATGTGATAATGTGGTGGTATATATTGCATAAGTCTGTCTTTGGAGTCTTGATTTACTGATCGCGTAATGAACTCTCTTTATCAAAACATCAGCATTGAGTTTTGAATATGATTTAAAAGACAGGTTTGCTATAAAATCTGGAGGAATTTGGAAACCAAAAACTTCAGTCAGGATAATTTTAGTTACCCTCTCAGCCAGTGTCTTTGTGTCACTGAGAAAGTCCTTATTAGGTTCCAGTTCATATTCTTGTAAAATTTTCCTGTATGCCGTGTCAATAATTTTGATCACTATGTCTCTATCTACTGGTGGAAGACACAGTTGTTCCTTAGCATCTTCTATGATGTTAACTGGACCTTTTGAGAATTCTTCTGTTATCAAATATATGAGTTTTTCAGCTGTCTCTAACAGTTCTTTTTCTGACTCTCTTAATGATTTTGTTTCCACAATGCCTAACATCTTGTGAAATATTTTGCTTAAAACCCCAGAGATCACATCTTCCAAAAAGGCTGAGGAGTAAACACTGGCAAAAAAATGTTGCTTTCTCGTATCATCAAAGTATGTATATGATGAAGGAAATGACAATTTTCCATACACAAATGGATGAAGATGCTGTTGACAGATATTTTTAATGATAAAACCTGCTATCCTGTCAATAAGAACATTGTCCTGGCTTGTAATATCATGCTCAACTGCTTCTTGAGAACCAGAGTTTTGCAAGATATTTCTTAATATGGAATCAACGAGATGCTGAGCATCATCCTCTGAATAAATAGATTTGGTTTCATCTTCATCTTTTGAAAGTCGAATTTCATGTTGGGAAATTTTCCTCCTAATAACACTGATTAGCATCGAAGAGATTTCACTGTGATTAATTTCTGATCTATTTTTTGGAGTTTCACTGTGTGGAATCACGTTAGATGCAGAAGGAAAGATTCTAGATAATAGTACTCTGATTATGTCTTCTAAAAACGTGTATGGCAGCAAGGTGTAATAAGGAGATAAATGATGGCTTGGCTGGGTAGGTTCACTGATACTACTAAAGATGTTCTGAAAAATGTTCTCTGCTGTTAAAGTAGCATAGGAAGAAGCCAACAAATCCCCAGAAAACAGTGGGTGAAAAAGATAATCAGAAATAGCTGCTACAATTAAATTGGTAATATTTTCTGCAAAAATATCACTGTCTTTGAGTTCTTTATCATCAACCTCAGGGGCTAGCCCTTGCTGTTTCAGAATATTCTCATGAACTAAATTGACAAGTTCATCCACAGTGTCTACATCTACAGTGGGGAACGGCTGCTCTTGGTCATCATGAAGAATGCAGATTTTAGCTTTTTTAAAATGGTTGTTTATTGAGTTTACTATTTTTGGGGTCATTTTATCCAAATCATACTCAGTGTTATATTTTGGATTGAAGACCTTTGATAATAGTCTGGCAACAATTTCTTCTACAAATGCATTAGTGTAAAAGTCCATTTCTAGTGATGATGGCTTCTGAGGTCTGTGCGGCTCTGTGACTTCACTGAGAACCTCTTTAACCATATTCGGTATTTCATCCAATGAGGTCGTTGAATGTGGTAAGCCCTCTCCACACAAAAAGGGTTGAAGATGATTTTCAATAATCTCTTGAATAATGAGACTGGCTATTCGCTCAACCATAATCGGGCTTTGGCTTTCTATACTTTTCTGTATTGACACAAGAGAGCCAGACATCTGCAAAACATTATTATAAACAGAGTCCACCATATTATGAAGGTTTTTTTCTGTATATAGATATTGACAATCATACTTAGTGAGCCAAATCTTGTGCTTTGAAATGGCTAGCAAAACCTTATTTACTGTACAGGTGGAGATCTCATTAAAATCCAGAGTCATTAAGTATTTATTTCCCAAGCATGAAACCTCGCTGGGTGGAGGAATGAGCTGAGATAACAGTCTTCTGATGACATCTTCTAAAAACGAGTGTGACAGCATGGTAGTATAGCCTGTTGAATGTTGAGCTTGGTAATTAAGTTCATTCAGGTTGTTTTGAAGTTTCTGCAGTATATTTTCAGCTTTGAGAGGGTAATATGAGTTAGGCATGAGTTTTCCTACAAAGCACAATGGGAGTTGGTAGTCTACACTCTCTTTCAAAATGTCATTAGTTATCTGTTCTGCTATTGAAGTGGCAGCATGGGCCAGATAATTGCCACAGGTAACTTGCAATGTATAGTCCCATAAAACATCATTAAAAACAGAGTCAACAATCTTACTAACTGTTTCTTTATAGACTGGTGGGAAATATATCCTTTCATCAACACCCTGTAAAACAGTGACTTGAGCATTATTAAACTCATTCACCACAGAGGTGACATCTAATATATTCATCTCCTTGAGCTGGGCTTCAGTGATGTTTACATTTTTGCCCTGCAATGAGGTGGAGAGGTTAAGAAAAAGGTCTGCAATTATTTCTTCCAGAAATGTGGCAGAGTAAACTCCCGAGTTCATGCCTCCTGGATATTGCATGTTAAGAATGGCTCTTTCATTCACTTCCCTTTTACCTGGTCTTCGAAGAGGAGGTAGAGAAGGGAATTTCCCTGAAAACTGCTTACCAAATGGGGTTTGAATTTTGGAATGAATCGACCTAAGATTATTCAATGGTCTTGTTGGAGGCTTGTTGTCATAACTCATGAATCTTACAGAGCCTTTACCCTGTCTTGATTCTTTTATTTGTGGCATTTTTACTTTTGGAGAACTAGGAGATCTCACTCTTGTCCTATATGTCAAATGCTTATTTGTAACAGATGGACTTCTGGGAGGTTGCTGTATACCACATGACAATTTTTCCATTAAGGATTTTACCAATCTATGGGAAATAATACTAAGCATGGATTCTTGATCTATTTCTGCCAGATTTTCCAAGAGGTCTGACATGACATATCCTTCAAATGGTGAGCCATAGTCCATTGTTCCCCTGCAATATTCCTCTACATTTTGAAGTATGTTGAACAGTTGACGTTCTGTTGCTATTTCATCAGAAAGAGGATCATTTGTAAGGAAGTTGTTGGTTGTGCACTCTTCCAAGAGTATTCTAGTAAGTTTCTCACACACAACATTCAGAAGAAAAACTGACTTTGGGGAGAGCCCTAGGTTATTTCTAGGAATTCTATGACTTTCCTGGTTATTTGAAGATAGGAACATTTTTCTTGCTATTTTACCAGAATCCATATCCCAATGTGGACATTCATCTGGCAAAAACAAATTGAAAACGATATTGAAAATTCTGTCGACTGTTTCTTTGGATTCCTGAGTTTTTAGGCTGCCAACCAGAGTGTCCAACTTGCATGCTAGGGAATTTAGTTTATTTTTCTGTGCTAGTTGATTAATTTGGTGAGTAGGAGCTGACTTCCAACTTCTGGCACCTATCTGTCTTTTCATAGTTTTGGTTTTGTTGCAGATGGGCAAATTATGGCTTTTAACCATGGAAGGTGATTTTTTTCTTCGTTTGCTGTCAAGGTGATGATTTATTCCTATTTCTTTAGACAGAACATGGATCACTCCTATCAAGAGATCCTGAAAGAGATCATTGAAGTCAGCCACAGCTTCTTTTGGGCAGTAAATATATTTTGTTTTCACAGAAACCACTTGTTGTGTAGTGTCTGCCTTTAATATGTCACTATTAAAAAGGATTTGAATAATGGTTTCAGAAATGCTTAAAGCAAGCCCTCTGATAGAAACTGACCGGCTCTCAAACACTTGGGAATGAACTAAAATAACTTTGCTAAAAGTTGCATCTTGGTTTTCCAGGGATTTCTGTTTTGTTCCACCATCTTCAGTGCAATTGGAAATGCTTGAAATCATGTAGGAGATAACCAATTTAGTGAGATGTTCACAAAATTGATTAAGTGAAGAATCACTATTTATGCTTCTTAGAGGCTGTTTTGATTTATGTTTTTTGCTTAACAGTGTGGAGACAATAGGTACTTTTTCATCAAGAGGACCTTAAAACAGAAAACATTGCTATTTTAACATGCATTAAGGGAAAATGTTGACATTCAGAATACTGGCAATATTTTATATATGAATTTCACTTTGAATGTACCTCACTCAAGAAATAGAAAAACCTAGTCAAGAAAGGGACTAGGTTTTCTTCAAACTTCTATTTCCCACCTGTGGAATCTTTACTTCTGCTGGGAAGTTAGGAAAATAGCCCATGAGTATTCAAATCTCTAATTTCTGGTTTCTTCCTTGGATAGCTATGGTGCTTTAATAAGTTGGAAATCCTGGGGCAGAGAAATGATTTCCAGCTTTAGAGCTGCAACGAGCTAGGGTGATTCCAGTGATATCTAGAGATCTCATATAATTCTTGAAAAAATTTTTGGCTGTTCAGCTAATTATCCCATTTGGGACTATACAATACACAATACACTGAACAGAATGAACTGCTGATGTTTGACAGTTTTTTTTGACGTATAAAAAGGCTATTTCATATGGTTCAACCCAATATATGCATGTAAGCTTTCATAGAAAGGGAGTGTAGATACTATAGTTGTAAGCATGGGTTTAGAGTGCTTACTGTCTACTCTATATTTAAAAAGAATTTAGGTCAGAACACTGGAACACGAACAGAACAAGAAGTTTAATGCCACTGTTATTATGAACTCTATAACCAATAACTGCAAAGACTTTAACTGTATACCTCAAAAAGAAGTTGGATTATTACAATCAATTAACTATGTATGAGGTCTGACTATAATGTAAGAAGCCTTTTTAAAAAGAACTTAAAAAAAAAACCCTCTTGGAACTTCTGTTTGGGAATTGCCTTTAGAGGAGCTGTATGTCCCAAGCAAGACATCATTCATAGTCATACCTCATGTCCAACCAAAATATCCCACTTTAAATTATGCCCATTTAACCTCATCTGTAGATAAGAAAAATTGAAAAACACTCCTCCATATAAAAATTATGTAAACGTGTCACTTTTTTTTTTAGCATACTGACCAGTTGAAAATCACACCATGAACAGCCACCCCAAATCTAAGGCTATATTCAGAGAAGCAGAAATGTAGTTTTTTAAAATTATCATTTACTTTTTCCCCTAAAATTATGCTAACTCTTTTAAAGTCATCATCACTCACCTCTGGTTTCAAAGTTCTTGAAATAAGTGACCACAGATGTGGTAACATATCTTGCTACTAAATGGGTTTCATGTGGTCCCAGCTCCTGATCTGCAAAAGCGATGACTTCAGCTTCTTCAAGATCTGCTATTTTCTCTAACTTTGGGTATTTATTTTTCCACTTTTCCAGTAAAGTGGAATCTTCTCCATTTGCCACAAAGCTTTTGTTTTCTTCTTCAGTTTCACAGCTGACTCTTTTTTCCCAAATTTTAAGCAAGCTTTTCTCATCCTTTTGTTCTTCAGATATTACAGAGAAAGGTCTTTCCTTTGATATTAAAAATGGCTTCACAGTTTCTATACTTTCATTAGTGTGTGGGGTTTGACTTGGAAGGCCATAACTCAACAGCACGGTATTGACAATATTTTCTGCAGCTAAACATATTTTGAGTGGAGAAATGGTTGTCTGTATTTGGTTTGGCTGAACAACTGGTTTGGGGGGCTCACAGTGAAGCACTTTTTGACTTTCACCTTCTTCCATTTCTGTGAAGGACATGGGGTGCTCTAGCGCTGCCTGTGCAGAGTCACTGGATTTCTGAGATGGTTTCTGTAAGATAGTGCTTTCTAGGAGAGAGCACTTTCCTTTCACAGCTTGATTAAAATGACTGAAGATTTGGGCTTCACTTCTAGAATATGATGGTTTAAGCTCTGATTTGAGCCCTTCCATTGGTTCTGTGGCTTTAGTTGTATCTCCTGCAGAGTATCTGACACACGAAGGTATACTTGAGGAAGTCTTGTCCTTTATTTTCTTATCTTCTTCTGAATAAAACAATAAGCCAGGGATTTGTGGAGGATCATCCCAGCAGCTAACTCCCTTTGACTCTGAAGTGGACATTCCCATTCCGATTGCAAATCTGGACCAATTAACAGTGCAGGCATTTATAGCTCCTTGAAGCAGACTTTCCTTTGGATGGCTTTTGATCATCAGCTCATAGAAATAAGTGCACTGGTCCATCAGGGTGCTGATGTTCTGACTTGCTACAATGTTTTCTTCAAATATGCTAGTTGAATATGGCTCTACTTGGCATTTTTCCTTGTCTAGTTTGTTCTTAATTATACCAAGCATGTCATTGACAGTATTAACAGTATAAGTAAGCAATTCTGAATGGAATGAGTAAAGCAGTACAAGTATATTCTGTATGTTTTCCTGGGAAATCATACTACTTGATTTAGATTCATCAGGAAACTTACTCAGTCGCTGTAACCTGGGCAATATCGTTTTCATTAATGGTTTCTGTTGTACAGCAAAAAAGTTTTCAATAGGTGTTCTCACAATTTCAGAAAAAGCATGTGTAAAGACATGTTTAAACTGCAGGTCTGCAAATGACTCTAAGGTGTTCAGAACCCCTTCTAAGATCTCTTGAGCGATTTGGTGGCCAGAGCCCCCCACCTTTTTGTCTTTCAACTTTGTGTTATAAGTTGGTACATTGTTGAGGTTGTTTGTTCTTAATGAACCACATTTACTTCTAGCAGTAGTTTCTTTTTTGCTTTCTAGTGTTTCATCACTATCTGTTGTAAACATCTGAGTCAAGAAGCACAATTCTAATTTTTCAAATAGCTTTTCAACAATTTCCTGGCCAAATACATTAATTTGTGCTTGGGAACCCTCAGTTCTAGAAGCAGTGCCATTAAAATTATGGTGCCTGCTTTCACAAGGCCCAGGAAGTGACAAATTTAAATGTGAAACAGATTGTTCTAATTCTTTTGCTTTCACTGAAATTTCATTCAAAACAGTTTCAGCTACCATCAACAGCTTATATTTTTCGTTATCCATGTCACTTGATTCTGTTTGCCATTTATCAAACATTTGTTTAAAAATATCTTCTTTAGGAAAGATTTTTTTGAGTTGTGAAGAAACATTCTCCAAAGAAAAATGGGCTTCTGGATTTGCAAGAGAGATTGTACTAAAATACCCCTGTGAAAGTTTGAGATCATCTGAGTATGCGCCTTTTATTGGGTTGGCCAAATTGCTCTCTGTAGCATATAATCCTTGCAAAACTGCATTAACTATTTCACTTGCTGTCACGATTTGATCAGAAGGTAAAGCATTTACTTCTACCATTGCTCTATTCTGCCTCACTTCTTCAAATTCATTTACAATTGTTTCCAGAATATTACTTAATATATCCTTGGCATACATTTTTAGTTCCACAGTGGGGAGTTTTGCTCTTACTAAGGGGTTTCTGGCATCCCCTATTGATAGCAGGTGTGGTAGTCCAATGGCAGTCTTGGACCACCTGCTTCTTAGAGTCTTCTCTCTAGGACCTAACTTGGTTTTCCATTTGGCTTTAGTTCCACTAGGTCCTAGCTGTGGTTTTGTTCCAAACTTAGCCAAAGAGGTAACTTTTGATTTTGTTTTAAAATTTATTTTAAAACTTGTCTTAGGGCTGTCCTTGGGACTAGCTTTAGAATCGCATGTCCTCAGATAATGAATTTCATCAGACTGACTTTTAGGGGACGAACTCTCTCCTAGATTCAGCAAAGCAAAATCTGTGATCTTTCTGAGAACCTTTTGCACCAATTCTTCACCCACTTGCAATGGAGAAAATTGCAATAAGGTGTTTTTCAACGAAGTGACACTTCTGATGCCTGTGTAAGAATAAAGTTGTGGTATCACAGTTTCAGGGGGTACACTTCTTTTTCCTTCTTGTTTCAGTTCACTAAAGGATGATGGATTCATCAGTAATTCATCACTTCCAGATACTTCCAATTCTCCCCTGGTCTCACTGTTTTCATATAAAGATGTCATAATTATTAAGAACATTTTTCTGAAAACACTTTCAACTATGTCATTCGCAACACTGCTTATATGTGACTGGAAGGCTTTTTTTCGTGCTGATGTTTTAATTTTATCAGATGTAAAGTGGGGGAGTTCATTAAATAGATGCCAATAGTCTATGTCTTCCATTACCCTTTGATACACCTTCTTTAAAATTTCCGTAACTGCACTTAGCAAAGCAGTTGTTTTTTCCTTTCTAGATTCTCCATTTCTAAATATTTCCTCCAAAACCCTTTTCTGGTTTTCGGCTTCTGATATAACTTGGTTTTGATCAGAATATTTTGAACATAGAGACAGTTCAGTGTTATCTTCCATCTTTCTTTGACCTGGCAATATTTCATTTTGTAGAGCTAGCTGTGTAAAAAGACCAGGGTCCCACTTTGAGTAAAAACCACTTGCATTTAAAGATTTTTTATCATGTAAGTTCTTTAAGATGTTGTTGACAGTATTACTTGCAATGATGTTTTCTTGGAATGAAGTATTGTTTTGATATGAATACATCTTTTGGATTTCTAGGTCTACATCATTTTTTATAAGCGTCAAAATAGTCTTGGCGATTATGTCAGCATATTCCTTAAGACCAGCTGGTGATATATGAATTGCAGGTCCATTTTTTTCTCTGTAATTAGCAAATGTGTAATTTGTGACCTCTTGACTGAGAATGGTTTTAGCTGTTGATATTTTCGGGATATTCACATCTAGTGGCATTTGGTTTGATTCAAGAAATATGCTGTCGTCTCGTTTACAATATGTAAATTCTGGGCCAACATATGGTTTTTCTCTAGTCTCAGTATCAAGAATAAATAGCAAATCTATTCTTTCTGTGGCAAAAGATTTTAACCTATTCAAGATACTTTTAGTAATGAAGTGAGCATTTTCTTCACAAGGGTCAGGAGATTTCTTGGCATCTTGTTTCTTAAGTACAGTTGTCTGATTATCATCAGAATAAGCTAATTCCAGCTGTACATCTCTCTCCTTTTTTGCAGATAGAAATCTCCCCTTTTCCCTTTCATTCACTGAGTCTATCACAGGGGATTTTTGATGCTCTGCTTTGGGCAACGCACCAGAAAATATCAGGGGAAATCTTGGAGAAATGGAATCCTTCGCATTTATGTCAAGAATGATAGCAGAAGTGAGATTTTGAAGAACAATATCTACCATTTCATTGGAAATCATAGTAACACACTCCTTAGGAACTAAAAGTGTTAGAATAGCCTTACTTGCATACTCAGGGTCCGTTTCAGAGTATGCTTCTAAATGTCTCCCACTTATATTACCTTTAAAAGTGGATACAGCAAGTGGGAGATTATTCTCATCTATTGTTTCCTCACAGATGTCAACTAAGATACCTTCAATGGTATCTTGTATTTGAGACTGAAGTTTTTTTCGATAATCACTTTTACTGAACAGCTTTTCAACAATATCTTCTGACCGATCTGGATCAGTCTCTCTGTCAAATGTATTTTTTTCATATTTGCCTTTAGTAGACACAGTATCTAACAGTGTGTTAACAATCTGACTTGGAATACTTTCAGAACCCACAACATTATGAGTTAAGAATGGACTTTTTATTTCTTTATCTAACTTGTGTTTGATTCCTTGTAAAATTTGTCTAGCCACTTCTATTGCATATATATTTAATTTAGAAGTAGTCAGTTGACACACTGAGGTGGTCTTTCCTGACTTATTATGATCCACTGAGCAATAGGAAAATTGATCATCAGAATATGAATCTTTGGTTGATATCCGTGGCTGGCTTAAAGCAGTCTCATCCCGCTGTAAAGGTAAAGCTATTGGAACTGTGAAACTGACATGAGGACAAAAGAGAGCTTTTACTTTAGAAGTAGCAAATGTTTCTAAACTTGTCAATACTGACTGTATAATATCTTCAACTACATTTATTTTGGTCAGTTTACCAATACTGAATGTGGACTGAAGTGTACACGGATTTCTGTCCAGTATGGCAGAATAAACAGGAGCCTTTCCTCCACTGGCATATTCAGGCAAAGAGAGATTTGCTGGAAAAGTGACAGTATTATACTTTTCATTTACACTTCTATCTGTCATGGCAGCAGAATAAAGTTTTTGAAATATGGTTCTAACAACATTATCTGCAACAATGGTTACATCTGCTTCAGACACTAAAGGGCCCACTGTTTTATCCAGGGATTGAACAGATGTTTGAGCAACTGGCTCATCACCAGCATGAGGAATGTCACATAAATGGGACTGGGTAAGAGGATGCATTTTTAGTTGATCAATTAAATCATTCTGAAAAATTTCATTCAAAATATTTCTTATGATGGGCACAACTGGGGACTTTTGTGGCTCTTTGAGTTCTACTTCAATTTTTTTAAATGTTCTTTCTAGTTCTCGTTGCTGAAGAGAATCTGATTTAGTTTCTTCTTCTTTTGGTCTTTCCTCTCCAGCATTTTCTTTCTCTGTATCCGTAGGATCTTCTAAATATGAGTCTGGGTCCGCTCCTCCAGGAAGAAAATTTCCATAGGTTGGCCTGTATCTGTAATTTTCAATGCCACTCTCTTCTGGCTCAGTTTCATTAAATACATCTGGAGAAACTGCATCTAAAATGAAATTGACTACAGTCTTCAGCATTTGTTTCTCCTGTAGTGGCTTGCTTATGCACGTTTCCAAATCTGGCAAGCTCACATTTAATTCAGTTTGAATAGCTTTCAAAATAGTACTTGACACTTTTTTTGCATGCATGTATAAAGTCGACTGCAACTGTTTTTCAAGTGCGTTACCACAAATGTTGGTATTTCCACTTTCCCAGTATGTCCTGTTGTTCTTTTTATTTCCACTGATCACAGTGCCCAGAGTTTCTAAACTTTTATTGGCAAACCCTTCCAATGTAGCAAAAACCATTTCAAGGATATCTGAAGCCATGGTTTTCAGTTTATTTAGACACTTTCCTTTTGTGGTTCCTGTTTTGGGCACAGTAGTTTTCCCCTTGTTATTAGTCACCTCTTGACAACCTGGCTGGGTCACACTGGACACCATGCTGGAGATTATATCAGAGCATCTGCTCAATTCCTGAAGAAGTAAAGCAAATGACAGGCTGTCAGTGTCAATATACTCTGACATACCTTTAAGTTCCGAATTTTTGAAAATGCTGTCTTTCTCAATACCACATAATTTTGTAACAATATCTTCTAGAATTGTATGAGAAATAAACTTAATATTGGACTGCAATGTACTGGTTGTTCTCAAATTCTCAGTGATCCACTCTTCGTTTTGATCACCAAATAGGGAAGAATGTGGATGGTTTCCTATGAGCTTGCACAGCATGTCATATAAGGTATCTCCAATTCTATCTAACACTTGCAATCTCGCACATGTGTGAATTTCCTCCTGCATGTGAGGACAATGAGAAGGCAAAAGTTTTTGTTGATCAATGTCAACAGTTCCATATGAGATTTTAGACCATAGCTTATTTGAAGGGAGTAAAATATTGCTTTTATCTGTGTTCCCACTTAATACCTCACAAATGCAAGTTGCTAATGAACTTGTCATAATGTCATTATTTAGCTTTGTGACAAAAGAGTCTAATTCCTTTTCAGTGTCAGCAAAAAATCCTGTATCTCTAAAGTTCTTGGGAGGGCTACTCTTCCTAAGATTTATATTTTTCTTATTGTACTGTAGTTCTTTCTGGATAGCATCCAAAACAATTTTTACCACTTTAGTTGTGTAAGCACTAAGGTGAAATCGAAACACAGATTGCTTGTCAGGTTCAGGGTTTGAATGGGCAGCATGGCTTTCTGGTTTGAAGCAGTTTTGTAATTTTGGACAAATAAATGAGTTCAGCTTCTTAAAAATTGTATAAATGATCTTATCATTAATGTAAACTACAGGTTCAGATGTTGCTCCACTTTCTCCAGGTTCTAAACAGGGGTGTTTTGTAGGGTCTATGCCAAGTGCAGATAAAATTTTCATATTCCTTTTAATCTCAAACCATATTTCTAATGGATCTTTATTTGGTACATCAGCATTATCTAGACCGGTTTGACGTACTGATGAAGAATGTCCAATAATGTGATGAGAAGCTATGTGAAGTATTTTTAATATAGCATCTACAATTTCTTGAGCTACTGTATGGATTTCTGATATGGAGAACATCTGGTCCATCCATTCTTGATGTGACAGATCTTGTGGTTTTCCTGAGGTAAGAAGTGAAGTCTTTCTACCATTTTTATAATCTAAGTAATCAGAAGGCCCAGAAGATATATCTTTGAGTGTCTGTGCTAAAACACTTGTAATTATATTTTCAGAGGCTTTTTGTATTTGATGTGTTTCTTCTTGGTTGAAAAACAAAATGTCTTTATTCCAACCTGGCTTGTCCTTAAAAAGATCCTTAATATTAAAAGTTGAAAGGTCAGTATTTAATCCCCAATTGTGAAATGCTACTTTGTCTTGATAAGCAGGCTCTGTAACTAAGTTTGTATTTCTTTCGTATTTAAAACCAGCATTTTCCCTTGTTAGCCAGTGATCAGGAGACTGTTCGTGTAATTTTGCTTTTTCATCTTTGATAGCTGAAATCAATACATTTTCTACAATTTTGTCTATTTCTTCATTTTCATCTTCAGAATAAAGGACCATGCCAGGAACATTAATAGGTGGAAATAGGCATCTATTTCTAGGACCGTTAACTACTCCAGTGCTGGTGAGTCTATTCTCTTCTTCAGTGCCAGGAGGACTGCTCATTCTGGTAAGTTTACTCTTCTGGACATCTGTTTTCACTGGTTTCTGATGTAGCTGAGCCAAGATATCATCAAGTAGCTGAAAGATGGTCACTGTTTCTTTATTTGCAATGACCCTTTCATTATTAAGTCCAATTTGTATATAACCTAGTATAGTGCTGATTGCTTCCTTTATATAACCAACCAGAGAGGGCTGGGAAAAAATACTTGACATTAAATTTTGTATTTCTTCTTTGCCAATCAAATTGGCAGCATCATCTTCAGCAATGGATTTCCTCTTGCTGGCTCTTTGAAGGAACGTGTATGTTGGCTCTTTCCTGAGTGGCTGATAAGCAGAGTCAGGTGTGATTTCAAGATGAGTAAGTTCACTTTGTTTAGAAGATGCAAGAGCAGTCAGTTTTTCTAAGATCACATGAACCATATCGTCTGCGATATCATTCATTTTCTCCAAAGCATAAGGCAGTGAAGCTTTTGAAGTTTTTTCTTTTGGAGAAAAGAAATTTTCTCCACTGACTAAGTCTGATTTAAAGTGAATTGACACATTTTCTTGTGAAAATTCCTCAATACATTTTTTCTCAACTGCAGACTGTAGCCTCTTAAGCACATTTTCCATAATTTCAGCAGCTGCTGAGGAAATATCAACAGTGGAGAGCAAGTCTCCTTTGTCAGTGTGAGTTTGGTCAACCAAAGCTTTGGCCGTAACAGAGGAAAGGGTGGGGATGGACTGGGTTACTTCAGACACCATTTCATGAAAAACATTTTCTAAAATCCGCTCAGTTTCCCCTTTTAGGTGATATTTAAAGTTAACATTATTTAACTCCTGCATCTCATTTACAGCTTTTGCTTTTTCATCGGAAGACAGCGGGCATTGTAAGCCATCTGTTTCAGTGGCAGCATCTTTAGATTTCCTTGTGCTTGTTTTAATAGATGCAAAAAGGTGACTATCAGATTTACAGATTTTAAGCTTGTAGGATTCAGCGGTCTCACTATATTTACGTTCAGGGATTTTAGGGTCCTTTCCTAAGTGTCCTTTCCTGTCATATGCTTTTTCCACAACTGTTCTTTCATTATGAGCAGAAGATGGTTTTAAAGGTGCTGCTGGTTGCCCTACTGACCTGTCAGCTGCCTTTGCACAGGGCTCTGCCTGAACCATCTTACTTGCTTCATATAGAAATGTTTCACAGCATGTGCTACAGCAACTCCTACTATCTGAAGAGAGGGTGGAATCATCAGTCATTGGGTATATACTATTTTGCAACCTTTCTTCATATTTTGTGATGGCTGGGTATAATACACTGGTCACTGCAGCCACAACCCAGGTCATTATATTATGAATTATACTGTTCAGTTCTTCAGAAGTTACCTGGAGAGGAGGTGAGCAGGGATACAAGGGAAATCACAATTTACTCTATTTTAGGGAGAAAGGCTAACCTTTAATTCCTTATATCAAACAGTGCATAGCTAGAATCCAGCCATGGTATATGGAGAGAACATAAGAAACCTATTTAGAACAGATTAATTTCAAGTTGGTTTATTCTCTAGGGCTGTGAGCTATTCTTTGAATAAGACTTTCTTTGATTCAAAATCCCTTGGAACTTTTATTTTCAGCATTTATTGCTGAGGACAAATTGCTTCCTGGCTAAAAAAAAAACCCAAGTGGGTGTCTAGGCTCACAGAAAACAAATGCCCTTGCAAGAAGTAAGACTGTGCTAATGACCAAGCATTATTTCTTTTTTTTTAACATTTTTTATTGATTTATAATCATTTTACAAA